TATCCATCATATATCCATAATATTACCCAGCTATTTCAATCCTAGAGTTTTATGCAAGAAAAATTCATACCGGGGCTGGGAAGATAGCTCAGTAGAATAAGCACTTGCCTGGCAAGCACAAGGGCCTGGGTTCAATCCCCGGTTCTGCCAAAAAAAAGAAAGAAAGAAAAACGCATACCTATATCTTTACAAAGTCTGATACATTAATGTTTATGTTGGCATCATTTGTAATGGCCATGAACTAAAGAAAAATATTTATCAATAGATAAATGGATAAATAAATAGTAGCATATTTACAGTGGAATCATACTTGGCAATAAGAAGAAATGTTGCTGATAGTTCCAAAATAGATGGATCTCAAAATAATTATGTTAAATGAAAGAAGCTGAATAAAAAGATGCATATATATATATTACATATATATATATATATATATATATATATACTTCATTTCATACAAAATGTCTTTGACATGCAGTTTAATTTAGAGTCACAAGAGAAAGTCTGTTCCCCATGGTCCATGTTCTAGGCCAATATAGTCTAAAGTAGGATAAATGACTTTGGACAATACCTGCCCTAGTCCTGTCAAATGTTATGGCAAAGTGCCCAGCCTCTCCACCCTCCACTACTGGCCCCACAGTTTTACAAAATGAGCAGAATCTAATATTTTAGTTTAATAGGACATCTTTGCAGTATGTCACGATCATGTTCATCGTGCGAAGTTGGTAATATACACAGCACATCTTGGTTCTTTCGCTGTCCCCCTTCCTGTTTCTCACCTCCATCTCTTGGCTGCCTTCCCATTTAACAAAGATAGAATGGAGTATTTTACACACACACACACACACACACACACACACCAGCACAAGCAGACAGGGTGTGATTCCCAGCTGAAGGGGCGTTTGCCTGCCTAGTGGAGACCTGCTCTTCCATCCCTGCCAGTGGAAGTAGGCAGCCCTGCGATGCATCTTCCACGCAGGGGCACAGTGCATAGCGGGTAGACAAGCCCCTGCTGTAATCACCAAGCCACATAGAGGAGCACAAGGTGAAGCTGGTCTTCAGTTAACCAAGCATCTACTTCCACACCTTTTATTAAGTTTATTAGTAATTTTAAATATACACAGTCACTTTCATTATAAGGACATGGTACCCACACATGACATCCCAATTTCTCATCCCCTTAGCCTCCCTTTAACCTCTTTCCCCTCCTAGCTTGCAAAGTTTTATTTTCATTTTTCCTTCTTTTCCATTTTTTCTTTTCCCTTCCTTCCTTTCCCTTTCCCCCATCCCATCTCCTCCTTCCCAACAGAGCATTTTCTTCGTATTTCATAATACCTAGTATATATTGTGGTCCTTATTTATGCTTTCAGTTCCTCACACCAGAGAAATAAAATGTCTACACATGTATGCTTGATGTGTTCACTTAAGAATATGGTCTCAAGATCTGTTCATTTATCTATAAATGTCTCAAGTTTATCCTTTATGGTCAAGTAGTACTGCATTGTACTTAAAAAAAAAACAACACATCTTTATGCATTCACCAGTTGATGGGCATTTGGGCTCTTTCCAAGAGTTAGCTATTACAGACTGTGCTGCTATAAACAAGGATGTTCATATATCACTGTAGCATGACTATTTCCACATTGTGTATGACAGAAGAAACAATCTTGGTTAAAATTCAAGACTTCACCTATTTAATGATTGTATCTCCACAGTTAAGACTTGGAAAAATGCAAAATCACATGGACTGTGATCACATTAAGTTCATGACCACTGAAGGTGTCTATTTCCATTCCCTAGCATTTACACAAGGTGTGATTAACATATACAGAGACTTTTTAAAGAAGCTTATTCAACTAAAACACGTTGCCATTAATCACCTTCATAATATTCCCCCTTGCTTTCAAATCATTTATCCTATCATCTGGCACTTTCTGAAACAGCAGTGAAAGTTCCCTCTCATATCTTACAACGTAGCTTTAGAAACATGCTGAATGCTGCTGCCAAGTATTCGCCAGTAGAAAGGCAGGCTCACACGCACATTCCAGTGTGTCCTCATCCATCTAATCCACCTAATCATGTCAATTGCATGTCACTTCCAGCTCATGTCACTTCTGGCTCTTCCCCAAAGTCAAACTGACTATAAAAGTGTGAATGTTTTGAGTTAGTTTAAGACATTACATCAACTATGACAGTACAATGAAAGACATTGATGAAAAAGGACATCCAGAAGTGCTTCAGAAATTGGCAAGAACCATGGGACAAGTGTGTTTCAAGTGAGGGTCAGTATTTGAAGGGAGATTAACAGTGATGTGTCTTTTCATGTAATGCATTTTAAACATTTCAATAATACCCAATCTCTCTCCTCCTTTGGATGATGATTTCTAAATCTTTTCTTTCTTTTCATATCTTCAATATCTCTTCTCATAGCTGGCTTTACCAGTTGACTTTACTTCTTTCACCTGGGGAGAAGGAGAGAGAGGGAGAGAGAGAGAGAGAGAGAGAGAGAGAGAGAGAGAGAGA